GACGACGAGTCGAACGGAGAAGCCCCTCACACACGCCGACAGGGTCGGCGGATTTTTCATCCAAAATCCGTCTGTAGGGGGACAGGCCCGACCTAAGCCTACTTGTTTCTGAAGACCAACATCTGGGGCCGATGCCAAATGCCGCTCTCACGTCCTAGCCAAAAGCGTCAGCGGACACATTGGGTGTCATGCCGTCCCTGTCCTGTCCGATTTTGTCCCAGCCCCGGCTTCGTCTTACACCGGAGAAAGAAACAGACACACAAACATAAACTTTTAGCGCTCCGCGCGGATTTCTCGGATCCGCGCCGGGGCCCCCGCGGCGGCGCCTCTGGCGCCGCCCTTGGCGCGCTCCGCGCGCCAGGGAGGGGGTCCAGCGCAAATCCAAGAAATCCGCCCTGGAGCGCCAAAAGTATATGTTTATACCGTTACGTATACTTTTTCTTCTTCTTCGTCTGCTTATTTTTTTTGTTCTGCTTCTTCTTCTTCTTCTTCTTCTTCTTCTTCTTCTTCTTCTTCTTCTTCTTCTTCTAAGGGGAGGCCCTGTAGGCTCAGAGGAGGAGCAGGTACCCATACTGCTACCCGTTTTGTTCTCGTCTGTGGCACTTGGGCCTCGTGGGGGTCACTCCAGAGGCCCGCTCCCATCCGCCGATCTCCCGGGAGGGGGACGCAGTCCGATGCCCCAGGAGAGGGATGCGGTCCACGGGGGCGGCCTTCCTGGGGTCCCTCGGGGGAGCCCTTTGGGGGCCTCGTGGGGGCCTTTTTCAGGCCCTCTGTCAGTATCATGTTCGTCCTATTCCTATCCCAATCCCCATCCACATCTCGAGCCCCACCGTCTCACCACCTCAGTTTGGGGATATGCCCCCCGAAACCCGAAGAGAGCAGCCTATGTCCCCCCATCAGTGGGGGTAGGTCGGCCAGTGGAGCCCAGCCCACGCTGGCGGGGATGGGGTTCGGTTACATGATGCTCATTTTGGGAGTTTCTTGGGCGCCTGCCGGCGGTCTCGGGAGTCCTCTTGGGGCGGAGGGCTCGGAATGCCAGTTCGAGTTGCCTCTCTTGGGCCCCTCGTAGGGCCCTGCTGGGGCTCTCTTGGTCCATTTTGGGCGCCTCGTGGGTCGTCTTGGGACTCTCTTCGGCCGTCGTGGGGCCCTCTTGGGGGCTTCTTGGGCTGTCTTGGAGCGATCTTGTGGCCTCGTGAGCCGTCTTGCACGCTCTTAAGACCAACGATGCCACTTGCTAATTTCCTCCATGGATTTGACTGATCTTGCTTCTTAGGGCCCTCGACTTGGAGCCCTCCTGGGGCGTCTTTGAGGCCTTTGGGGCAGTCTTGACGCCATCGTGGTCGTCTTTGAGGACTCCTCCGCGTGAGGGGGAAATGGGGGAGGGGGACAGCCAATCATCTCACACGCCTCTGCACCCTCGGCGAGCGGGCGTCGGCGGATGCTGGAGGCCGCGGGGGGCAGCGGAACTCTCAACGCTCCGAGCGTCCCCGCCAGACGCTCGCTTCGCCTGCTTTTCTTTTCCTGCTGCCTCGTCGCGGCCCGACTAGTGTTCGGACGGTTTTCGGCCCGCCTCGCGAGTCTGTTGACCAGAAGTATCCCCAGCAGTTCCCGCTCGCCCGCTGTCAGGCAGGGCCTCGATCCTGGCCGTACGTCTGGCCTTCGTACGATTCTACGGCGCCGCGCAGCTCTCCCGCTTGCGGTTGCGAGCAACAAGTACCCCCACCAGCCCATCCAGGAACCGTGCCTAGGGGAGCTGCCCTTATCGGGGGAGCGTGGCATCATTTGGATACCTCGGGGGGCCTCTGTCAACTAGAGGCCTCTTGGATGTATGGTGGGGGTTCGGGGGCCGTCATGGCGCCGTCTTGGGCCGTCGAAGGGCCTTCTGACGCCGTCTTGGGTCCCACGGAAGGCCCGCGTACGGCCGTCTTGGGGCTGTTTGGGATGTCTCTTTGGTCATCGTGGAGCCCGTTCGGATAATCTTGAGCTGACGGCAGCCCGAAAAGGCGAGAATGCAACCATCGGTAAACCAAAATCATATGGAACACACTGATTAGAGCTTCTTCGGACCCTGTTGGAGGTCCTCTTGTGGCGAGCGAGGGTCTTGTTGTAGGAATCTTGGGCCGTCTTCGAGGCATCTTGGAGTCCCTGGTTGCCTGCGCGGGCTGTCTCGTAAGCTCGGGACTCATCCATGTCGCTGTGGCGTGGGATCGTGGGCTTGGGGGACCCTGGAGCGCTTGGGGGCAGCGCCTGGGGATGCGGGCCAATGCGCGACCCTCAAGCGTGCGAGCGGGCATGAGGGGTCCAGGAGTTCGCAGCTATGCGGGACGTGCGAAATCCTCGAGCGGGCGCTCCTGGAACGCGCGTCCAAGCACGAACTGCCTGCGGGAAGTGACCACCGTCGAGCGGACGCGCGCGTCATGGCTGTTAAGGCAGCAACTGCCGCGCGGGAGGTGCACCATCCTGGAGCGGGCACGGGGGAAGTGGCCTGGGCGGGCACGGGAGGTGCACGCACGAGTCTGCCGGTAGAGGGGGGGGCGGTCCCTCTTCGGAATTTATTGTTCGACGAGTCCCCCCCATCTCTGGTTAATTCAAGCTTCGCGCGGCCCGCTTAGCTTCGACCGGAAGAGGTGCGCTCTCCACCCGCGAATCAACTAATGTTCGAGTAAAATCCATGCCGGGCAGACCTTGGCATCCTTTCGCGCCCCAGCGCGCTGGGGGGGGGACGGTGGCGGAGGGCACGGCATTGATCGCTCAACCCAGACTGCACCACACGAGTCTTCTTGTCCAGAAGAGCAGTAGGATCTGCCCCCTGGGGTTAACGGTACACCACTTCGCATTGCAAGTTGCATGCAATTCTGCCCCACTGTCCATCCTAAATATGCCTTCGTTTCATCCCAGTCAGGCCGGAGTTCGCGCCCCCCCCCCTTCCCCTTCCTCATCCTCTGCAAGGACCACCATGCGCGCACGCCCGTTTACCAAACATCATGAGTTTTCAGGCATCCCTTGCCTATCCTGGGACGAAGTGCGCACGTGCGCGTCGTCGCGCGCGCATGCCGAAATCTTTCAACATCTTCAGGCGTTGCAAATCTGTCAAAATCCGCCGACCCTGTCGGCGTGTGTGAGGGGCTTCTCCGTTCGACTCGTCGTCTCCGTCGTCTCCGTTCTCCCCCTCCCAGGGCTCTCCTCCTCAAGCGCGCTACCCAAATCGAAATTAAACGACGTCCTAGTGGAGTCGAAGGGAAGCCCCTTCCCTTTGATCCCTTCCCCGCAGGGGGGGGGGAGAGGGGGGGGGGTCCCGGGGCAGATACGACGCCCGCCGGGGCGCACTTTCCTCGAACGGGCACGCACAGGATGCATTTCCTCCTCCTCCTGGTCCTCCCTCCCTTTCCTCCTCCTCCCTCCTCTCTTCCTCCTCTCCTCCTTTTCCTCCTTTTCCTCCTCCTCCTCCTCCTCCTCCTCCTCCTCCTCCTCCTCCTCCTCCTCCTCCTCCTCCCGCAGAAGCGTCCCGGGAGCGGGCCCCGAGTCAAAATACCACCCCCCTACGGCGCATTTTCCTCGAGCGGGCACGCCCGAGATGAACTTCTTCCTCTTCCGGGAGCACGTCCCAAGTCAGAATATCACACTCCCGGGGCGCACTTTCTTCGAGCGGGCACAAAGGATGCTCCTCCTCCTCCTCCTCCTCCTCCTCCTCTCCTCCTCCTCCTCCTCCTCCCTCCTCCTCCTCCTCCTGCTCTCCCCCTCCTCCTCCTCCTTCTCCTCCTCTCCTCCTCCCCCTCCTCCTCCTCCTCCTCCTCCTCCTCCTCCTCCAGTGCACGCCCGCGTCGTCGCGCGCGCGCATGCCGGAATGCTCCAAAAGTATTTGGTGTCGTACATGTTTCAAAACCGAGTGCCGCGATACCACATAAAAACACACGGTCTCGCAACAAGGTTTCTCAAACAAATCCTGCGCCCGTGCCCTTGCGGATCCGTAAGAGAGCCATCGATTTCTCAACATGTTCATGACAATGTGCCAAGCGGGCCGCTCGCGCTGCATGTCGAACTCATTCGGGCGCCTTGCGCTCGTCGAGCTGGGGGAGAACTCCGCGCCACTTAACATTGCACGGACAACTCGCGCGCGCCGGCCGCGCGCGCATGTCGAACTCCTTCGAAGACCTCCCTCGCCGACGCGAGGACATCGTTATCGTTATCGGCGGGCGCGATCACCATCGGCGCCGTCATTGGCCTTCCCTTCGTCATCGCCACCATCGTCAGCATCATCGCAGTTCTCATAATTGTGTCCATCGTTGTCGGCGTCGCCATGATACCGCGCCCGTCGAAGTCACTGACTCGCGCTGAAGTGCCCGTTGGGAAGTACACAGCGGTGAGCGCCACCGCGGCCGCTTCGGTCGCGCGAATGCGCGCGAGCATGCGCGGGCTAGCACGGCCGCAGGATGCACCAGCCAACGCCGTGCACTCATCGCAATCGCCGCCGCATGGGTTTTGCAAACCAAATTGCGGGTGGGTGAGTGCGACGTTAGCGACGTTAGCCAACACATGTTTTGTTAACTCGTTTCTAAAAATCAATTGCGTAACAACGATTTTGTTTGCCAAAAAGAGGATGATGATCTAGCCCCCCAGGATTTAACGGTACACGCTTTCGTGTTGCAATTTACATGTGATTATGCGCCGTCGTCCATCTCGAATCTGAATCCACACCATCCCAGCCACGCTGGTCTCGGTTCCCCCCTTCATCTTCCGCAAGAAACGCTATGCGCGCGCACTCGCTTATATAGAAAACCAGGTAAGTTTTATAATCTACGGGGACCAGGTCCCTGGCCCCTGGGGCGGCACATTTTTCCGAATGGGCCCCCCAGACTCCCCCCCAAGTACCCATTGTGTCCCTGGGGGTCCGGGATCCATTGGGAGCCGTCACAGGGAGTTTCCAGAACCCGAGGACACCCCCCAAACGGTCCAAGGAGCTTCCGACAGGGTCCAAGAGCACTCCACAGCGCCAGCGCTAGCGTCAACACAACCCAAAAAGGGCCCCAATACGCCCCAAGAGGCCTTCAAGAGCACTCCCATCAGGTATGTCGCTTGTGCTCGTACTACTTGGCAGCGTCACTGCTCAGGGGCGCAGAACCATTTGTAATTCGCACTTCCCGAGAGGGGGGTCCGCCCGATCACAATGAGGAGCTGTTTGCGTAGGCGCACCATTATCGTGTTGTTTCCAGCGCGTGCGGCAGGATGTAGAGCACTTTCTTGGTGGCTCTTGAATTGAAGTTATCCAACCTGCGGCCTTGACCACGTAATGAGCGATTTGCCTTCGACGTTGGGCGGCCCAGACCATGCCAGCCACTGTTCCAGGTCGTTGGTTCCATCACGACTCACGCACTTTGCGATAGCTGGCACGGTCCTTTAATGAAGTATGCATGATTTAACTTGCCGCCAGCAGCAACCCAACCAGGCTTTGTCAGCTGGCACGTATCTGAAGGGGACGGGGGTGACTAGGAGGGGGGCTGGAAGAGGCCGGGCGACCGCGTGATCACGACGCCAGCATGCATCCAACCGTGCGCACTGCGGAACGAATGACTCGTTGCCACGAGTCCCGCGTCCGTCAGTTGGCGTCGCGGGCTTAACGAGCCCTCTGACGGCGCTGCCGAAAGAGTGGGTAGTGAGCGCAGCGAGGTTGCTGACAGAGTGGGAGTGGGAGAGTGTACACAAAGACATTCCCATGATTTGGAAGTCGTCCCATTCTTGAAGGACAAGTTCTTAACACATTCGCCTATTTCGTCTCGAGAGCGTCCAAGACGGCCCGAAGGCCCCTAAGCTCGCCCCAAGACATCCCGACGGGCCTTCAAGAGAGCACCTGAATGGCCCAAAAGGGCCCTCAGATTGCCCAAGAGAGCTCCGTCGCCTTCCCACCGAGCCCCAAAAGTGGCTCCAAGAGGCCAAACAACACAAAGAAGCCCTCGCGAGGCCTCCTTCGACATCCCTCCTTCCTTGCCCTGTCCAACCCAGCTCCTGCCGTTCATGTTTCCTTACCTTGTGCCTCCCACATCTCATTTCGCAGCCGCGCCACCGTGTCAACATGACCCACTAGCTCCCAATGTCCCGCTTCATACCTCCGACATGTCAGTTCTGAGCTCGGTTTCAGGGTTTTTCGAATGATTCCATTGGGCCTTCCTTCCGGTTTTCCAACTTCGCTTGGGGAATCTTGGAACCCTCCACGAGTGCCCCGACACGGCCTGCGCCATCATGTTCCCGGAGAGCTTTCCGGGAACGTGATGCTCGCCGCCAGTCCTACGAGGAGACCGAACAGGAGGAGGAGGGTCCGCACAAGATTACCGAACATCGCAATTCAGCGTCGGGTTACCGACCAGGGGGCCTGTTTTCAGCGGAACCGAGGTCGGGCCCGCCGCCCCGCTGCGAGTGGAGTCGGGGGCCAGGGTACAGACCCCGTTCCGCTGTTAGCCGTGCCATTTCCAGCCGTGACCCCTCTGGATTCTGGCTGTCCTTCGGGCTTTGCAGCCTCATGTATGAGCTTGCCCCGCAACCTCCATGAGGACTTCAATACGGCCCCATCCCCATGCTCCTGGGGCGCTTTCCGGCAACATGATTGTCGCCGCCACTCCGGCGAGGAGACCCAAGAGGAGGAGGACGGTCCGCGCCTTCGTACCGAACGCTCCAATTCAGCGTAGCGTTGCACGGGGATCCGTTTTCAGCGGAACCGAGGTCGGGCCCGCCGCCCCGCTGCGAGTGGATTCGGTGTCGAGGGTGCACCCCCCTCCCCTCTTTGCCGTGGCATTTCCAGTTGTGGCCCCTTTGGATCACATTCCTCGCCGTGGCCTTTCCAGCTCCTGCCAAGTATGTCAAGCTTTACCGCCACCGCAACATTTGAAGCTGTTTCCACGGGCCCGTCCTGCGGGTGGGAGGAGGAAGGAGGAGGGAGGGGGGAGAGAAGGGGGAGGGGGGAGGAGGGAGGAGGGAGGAAGGATGAGGGGGAAGGGGGGAGGAGGGAGGAGGAGGGAGGAGGAGGGAAGAGGGAAGAGGGAGGAGGAAGGAGGGAGGAGGGAAGAGGGAGGAGGGAGGAGGGCGGAGAGGAGAGGAGGAGGAGGGAGGAGGGAGGAGAGAGAAGGGAGGGAGGAGGAGGGAGGAGGAGGGAGGGGGGAGGAGGGAGGGAGGAGGGAGGACGGAAGAGAGAGGCAGAGAGCAGGGACGAGGGACGAGGGAGGAGGGACGAGGGACAAGGGACGGGGGACGATGGAGGGAGGGAGGGAGGGAGGGAGGAAGGGAGGAAGGGGGGAGGGAGGGAGGGAGAGAGGAGGGAGGGAGGAAGGGAAGGGCAGAAGGAGGGAGTGAGGGAGGGAGCGAGGGAGGAGGAGGAGGAGGAGGAATAATAATAACCATAATAATATGAAGAATACTAATAATAAGAATGAAACGAATACTAATCATACTAATAATCATAAGAAAACGAATAAGACGAAGAAGAAGAGGAAGAGGAGGAGGATGAAGCGGAGGAGGAGGAGGAGGTGGAGGAGGAGGGGGAGGAGGAGGAGGAGGAGGAGGAAGACGACGAAGAAAAATAAGGATCAACATACGAATACCAATAATAAGAACAATAATATCAATCATACGAAGAAGAAGACGAAGAGGAGGAGGAGGAAGGAGAACACGAGGAAAAATCAGAACCATATTATGAATACCAAGAAGGAGACTCACACTGATACTAGTAAGACTTATCATAACAGTACTAATACTATTAAGAATGAGAAGAAGACTATGAATACTACAGAAGACGACGCATACTCACACAACTACTAATGACGATACAGTTAATACAAGTATTAATGATAATAGTAATGGTGCTAACAAATAATAGCACTGATACTGGTACGTATCACGATAAGATCAATCCGACTACTACTACTACTACTACTACTACTACTACTACTACTACTACTACTACTACTACTACTACTACTACTACTACTACTACTACTATTACTACTACTACTACTACTACTACTACTACTACTACTACTACTACTATACTACTACTACTACTACTACTACTACTACTACTACTACTACTTTTACTACTACTACTACTACGACGACTACTACTACTACTACTACTACTACTACTACTACTACTACTACTACTACTACTACTACTCATGCAACGAATTCTAATCATACTTATACGACTAACACGAAGACGGCTAAGAACACGAATCATAAGAAGACGAAACAGAAGACGAAGAGGAGGAGGATGAAAAGGGGGAGGAGGAGGGGGACGAGGGGGAGGAGGAGGAGAAGGAAGAGGAGGAGGACGTGGAGGATGTAGAGGAGGAGGAGGAGGAGGAGGAGGAGGAGGAGGAGGAGGAGGAGGAGGAGGAGGAGGAGGAGGAGGGGAGGAGGAGGAGGAGAAGGGAGGAGGAGGACGAGGAAGAGGAGGAGGAGGAGGAGAGGAGCGGAGGAGGCGGAGAGGGAGGAGGCGGAGGCGGAGGAGGAGGAGGAGGAGGCGGAGGAGGCGGAGGAGGCGGAGGAGGCGGAGGAGGAGGAGGAGGACGAGGAGGAGGAGGATGAAGAGGAAGAGGAAGAGTTATAAAAAGAGGAAGCACAACACGAAAACGAATACGAAGACGAACACTTACACTAATACTAGCCATAGCAATAATACGGATACGAACAATACGAACAATAATAATAACACGAATATTTATAGTAACATTAGTAGTAATACTCATAAGAATACTACGAATAGTAGGAATGATAATCAGACTCAGAATAATAATGAGAAGGCGACGAAGACGAAAACACATACGCAGACGACTATAAGAACATGGAGAATAATCATACTACCGCATAAAGAAGAAGCATCACGGAGAAGGAGGAGGGAGGAGGAGGGAGGAGGAGGAGGGAGGCGGAAGGATGGAGGAGGAAGGATGGAGAAGGGAGGAGAGAGGAGGAGAGCTGAGAGCGGAGGAGGGAGGAGAGAGGAGGGGGGAGGAGGGAGGAGGGAGGAGGAGGGAGGAGGAGGGAGGAGGAGGGAGGAGGAGGGAGGAGCAGGGAAGACGAGCGAGGATGAGGGAGGAAGAGGGAGGAGGAGGATGAAGAGGAGGAGTAGGAGGAGAAGGGGCAGGAGGAGGAGGGGAAGAGAAACAGGAGCCAGAAGAGGAATAAGAGCAAGAAAAGGAATAATAATATGAGTCAAGAGGAGTAAAGGTAACACAACTAATACTATTAACAATCTGAATAATAATACTCATACCAGTACTACTAACAAGCATCATACTCATAATAATAAGATAAGAACAATATTATTAGTAATGAGACTACTATTAACAATAATAATAACAAATAATAATAATAATAATCATAATAGTAATACTAATAATCATAATCATAACAATAATAATAATAATAATAATAATAATAATAATAATAATAATAATAATAGAACCAAGGATGCTAATACTAATAATACCAATGATAGTAATAATAAATGATAGCAATAATAATACTACTATCACATTAAAGAATCATCATAACAGTAGACTGTTAATCAGACAAAAAAAGAGGGGGAGGAAGAGGAGGAGGAGGAGGAAGAGGAGGAGGAGCCCGTGGCAACCGCAATGTAGCCGCGACTGGAGCCCAAGAAAGGTCAGGATGGCACCAATACGACCCAAGAGCCTCCAGAGATGTCCCAAGAATGCTCGAAGACGGCATAGGAATGCCCAAGAGGACCTGACGTGGCCCCAAGAGGCTGCAAGACAGTCCCAAGAGGACTCCACAACGGCCAGCACCCGCTGGCCCGATTGCTTATGACAAACTAGAACCTAAGCATGGGCGAAGCGCGCGCGTGGTTGTACATAATATGCCAGGGTACCGGGGGCCTGGGGCCAGGGCCAGGACACACTCCCGGAATTCCCCCCCCCCCTTCCCCCCCCCCTCCCCCTCTCCTTTCGGCCTACGACATTTCGACCCCTTCCGGGGCCTCCCAGGCCTCCCGCCCGCCGTTGAAAACAGATCCGGACGCCACCAACAAAACGACCAGAGCGGCCTGACAGGGCCGAAGACGCCCGAATATTGTTTCAAGACGGCTCAAGAGGTTCCGCAGACGTCCTAAGAAAGCTCCTGTGCCCCGAGAGAGTCCCAGTAGGCAGAAGTTGTCCCATCCTTACGGCAAACGCGCATTTTAGCATATTCGCATTTTGGGCCTTTCACAGCGTCCAACAGCGGCTTAGAGGCCCCAAAGATCACCCCGAGACGGCCCAAGAGGCAAGAGGGCCCCAGGATAGCCCCAAGACGGTCCAAGAGGCGCCCAAGACGGCCCAATAGGGCCCCACGAGGGATCCAAGAGGGGGAACTCAAACTGACATTTCGAGCCTTCCGCTCCAAGTGGCAGACCCCCAAGAGGCCCCCAAGGGCTCAAAAAAGAGGCCCCAAGAGGCCCCAAGAAGCTTCAAAAGTCTCCTCACGAGGCGCCCGAGAAGC